ATTTGCACAGAATCCGGATATTCTTGTATATAAATTGGGTTTTATCAACCTAATATGTTTAAAACATGGTCTCCCAATAAAAAAAAATTAAAATGCTATTGAAATAACAAAAAATTTTGAATTCGTGGCTCTTAATGCACGAAGCTTGGCCTTTTTTCATTGCATTAGAATCCAAAAGAGGTAAAAATGTCTTGGCTAGAGTTCATGACATTTTTACTCCGAAGCGTTGGAAATAGTTCTCATCAAACGAAATCTTGAAAAGCGATCGATGCAAAAAAAACTTGTTCCTCAGAATAGTTCTAGAGAATTTGCAGAAAGTTAGTAGATTTTTTTGTTGGAATTGGATAATTTACTTGGTGTCTAATTTCGTTGAACGGAATAAAGCTGTACGTTCTGATCGGTTTGGAGCAAAATCTGCAGCTTGTATCTTGGAAAAGAAAATGACGGTATATCTATGGTTGAAGGATTTATGCTGCTAAGGTCTTCATCCAGAATTGGCCGGAATGCGTCTTGTGAAGGTCTCATTATCACATTCCTCGAATTGAAGGATATAACTGACTTCCTTTTCATGTACAGCAATCAAAAGCTTTGCGTAGTAAAAGAAATAGGCGCCAAACTTGCAGTTTTTTAATCCATTTTCCCACCAAAAATTCAACCATTGGACTAAATATTGTGTTTTTTTCCGATAAAAAGAGCTAAAGAGCTTTGTGTTGAATAAAACAGAAACATTCAAAAATTTTTCAGGCATTTCCGGACTTTTCAGGCGGTTTTTCGACCGATGGAGAGAAAAATGTGATGTTTGTTCTTTAATGACAGAATTATTAATGCCTAATTATAGGGTTTGCCAGTTTGAACCGAAAGCGTGATTAGCGTTTTTTCCAATCATGTCAATACTCAAAAAATCCTATCACAAGCTTTTAAAATTAGAGTTTTTTGAACAGTCAGAACAGTGATGTTTGACATTACCCCATGACGGAGTATAAATGATTCAACTTGAAACTGAGGCTACTATCTGGTTACGCTAATTTCAGAATTTATCAGATTTGAAGCGATAGCGTGATTGTGGAATAGTGTCAGTTTTCAATAAGTCCAACGCAATGCTTTTACAATTACGAGTTCAAAATGATGATTTTTAAAATTGCCCATTGACAGACTAGAGTTGATGCAAACTATTATTGAGTCTTCTATGGTAACGTTAAAATTAGAAATTTCCAGATTTGAACCGATAGCGCTGCTATAAGGCTTATGTTTTTGTTCTGACGGAATAATACTTGAAGTTGATTTTGACACCGTATCAATGAAAAACTTTTTGTGATAACAGAAAGTTTTAGTACTTTTCTTCAACTAAAATAACCCGTTTAGTTACAAGCGAAACATATAATTGAACAAGACTGCTTGTATCAGGGCGTAGCCCTGAATCTTCCGACTGCCTTTTAAGGTCTGGAGCAGTAATAACATGAAAAATTTAAATGTAAAAATAGAAAAATTAGAGAATTTTTGTTAAAACATCCCCCACACGTACCAAGTGATCAGTTTTGCTCCTATTAACAAATCAGTTGTGGCATATAAGCTTCCTTGAACCAATTTGGAACGATTTCTTTGACAGATTAAATCTCCCATACGCATTTACAGCGCAAAATCTATCGCGCCTTAATTGCACCAAATTGGCCAAAATGGCAACCTTTAAACCCCCATAACTTTGAAAAAGTGGATCACAGGTGAAATAATTTTTCAATTTAAGCTCAGGACAGCAATAGTTTTTGAATGATACAAAAAAATCGTCAAATATGGCTAGTTAAAAAGTCGACAATTGTTTGAAGAAAAAAACCCATCCCGAGCACAAATATTCCGTTACTTTCGTTACGAAAGTCGGAACAAAAAATAAATTGCAATGGTCAATCTATCAAGAATGAGAACCTATTGTGTCAAATTCAATCTCTTTGATACAATCGCTTTTTAAAAAATCTCAAATTAAAAAAAAATTTTTTTATTTAATTTTTTCATGTTATTACAGCTCCATTGACTTTAAAAGGCAGTCGGAGTTTTGTTTACCATGTTTTGTTTCAAAGGCGATTGCATGCGACACACATTCTATTGAAGTAAGGATTTTTTTAAAATATTTTAGATAAAATCTCATTTTTTTAAAACAATTATTAAGAAGACTGTTTACAATAGTTGTGTCCATGACTTAGTGCCAGGGATGCGTAAAAATATATTGCGGTCACAATATATTGCAATATAATATATTACAATAATTGATTGTCAGCTTTCACACAATACAATAATTGATTGTCCTGTCGACAATATAGTGTAACAATATGATCAAAGCGTGCAAACACCGCAACTGCCAGTGATTGGCCGGAAGTGTTGCTGACGCAAATTGACTCATTTCAGCCATCACTTGGTTTCAGAGCACAGCCATGCCTAAAGCCTTTGACTGCACTCCCCATACGAGCAAACAAGTTGCGAATTTCTATTTCACCGTTTTTGGGACATTTCTGTTGTGGATAAAATAATTACGCGTGGTTGATTGTTTTAATTCACAGTGTTTACCCCAAAAAAAAATTTCTCAAAGCATCCGGCAATTAATTGCAATTATTCCAATAATTGATTGGCAGGGTAGAACCAATACAATATATTGGGTAACGGGTACACAATATTATTGCAATATATAATTACGCATCCCTGCTTAGTGCTAATCATTTGGCGTATGGTTGAGTCCACAAAAGCAGTGGACTACAACAATGGTCTTCTTTTTAGGTTGCTGTAACAACTATTCGATGCAGTTAGTTATACGCCTTCGTTCAACCCAAATTAGATAAACAATCTGTTTCGTTAAGTTTTTCTGATAATTGAGCAGCGACATTATCTACCAGTTCATGAGTGTTTAGCAGCTTGATTTCCAAATTGTACAGTTTCTGTTGATGGCTTTGAATCCAAGGCCTTTTCAACTAACTAGTCTTTAACAAGTACTTGCAATTAGGCCGGTAAAACACTTTTTATCGTTTTGTAGTTTTTGATAAACCTTTCGGATCTTAGTCTAATGAACTCATGCTCATCAAGCCGAGAAGACTGAAAACTACCCTTTTGCGTTTTAGTTGGATGGGTCTCAGTGGCTCGTAAAAACGGGTAGTTTTATCTGGTTATTTATTTGTGCGATCCGTTGAAATTATTTTTTCTTTGTCAAAAAAAATTGATTAAAAGTCCAACTTTGAAGATCCTGAGGGGCAAATATAGTTAACTGATTTAGTATAATTTAGAGAATGTTTTTGTCTCACTTCGATTTCAAAATTTGGCGAAAAATTTCAAGGATGTTACTTTAGAATGGGTTTGTATAGGTGTTCAACCTATCGGAGAGAATAGGGACGCATTATCCTCCGATTAGCTTGGTCGCGTGGTCTTTAAAACCACAGTAGCTGTGTCCCTGGTTTTTGAGCCAATGGAATCATCTCCGCATGACGGTCACAGAATGTCAGCTCATGCAGTACATTTTTCTCCACGAAATCACCAGGGTTGTCTGAATTACTTGGATGTTCAAGGCTATTAACGCGTAAGCGAGATTTAATCTGTCTTAGAAGTTGTTCCAAATTGGTTCAAGGAAGCTTATTTGCCATAATTGATTTGTTAATAGGCGCAAAATCTATCACTTTGTACTTAATATGACGTGTGGGGGGATGTTTTTACATAAAATCTCAAATTTCAAAAACAAAATGATTTTGTTTATTACTTTGAATATTTTCATCTTATTAATGCTCCATAGACCTTGAAAGGCAGTCGGAACTTTCAGGGCTTCGCCCTGATACGAGCAGTCTTGTTAAATTTTGGTTTCAATTTTAAGTGAATTTAATGTTTGACAGGGTGTTTTGACTAGTTTTTTTCATATTAAAAAAGAATCAAATTTTTGCAATTGAGTTCAAAATTCAAACGAGTTTAGGTTAAGCTTCTCAACTAGATTGAAAGCACTGAAACATTCTAAATCAAATGTTCTGAATTAGATTAAAATCACTGCACAATCAATTAGCAAAACAAAGAAAAGTACGGAATTATGTTTTTTGTTGTTCGAGACCTTTTTTAATGAAAAAGGATAGCCGGTTGCTGTGCAAGTAGCACAGATTGTTACGAACATATTCTTAAAACAATACTTAAAAAAATTTTCGTGCTTTTTTCATAAAAGAGTTATTTTTGCGCGTTGTGTGATGAAAGGATTTGACAAAAGCCTAAAATTAAGACATAATTGACTGTTACAGTAAAATAGGCAAATCGGGCAACATTTTTTTGCCAAAAAATGATAGAAAAAACAACAAAAATAAAATGAAAATTTTTTTTTTGCAGAAAGTTTCAATGTTTTTTGGAGAAACTAATTTGAGTTTTTGAAATTTTTTATTCTAAAAAAGACAATAAAAAACTTAAAATCTTATAGTTTATTATTCTACGATAAGCCTGCTCGCTTGCTTCATTCACTCGAATTAGACCGAATTGAAATTTCAAATCGGTTTTTCTCGACACAGGTACAACTTTTTGAATATTTTAACATGTCGTTTGAATCAGCACTGAGGGGCTTCAAGTTGATAAATCACTCGCAACATTACGATGATTATTTGTAGTAAGACTTAAACTTGGCCATTAATTCGAGCGTCAGAAAAAAATTTATGATAAAACGCGTCAAAAAAACTTGGTGGGCACTCTTCGGAAGTTTTTGATCGAAAAAAAAATGTTTTTGTTGGAGTCATTAGCCATATAATTCAGTTTTATGTTCTAGCCTTACAAAAAAGAATAGTTAGCCTACGTTTTGTGTCTTATATAGTACCAATTGGGGAAGGGAGATGATTATTGGCTCTAAATAATTTTCCGGCCGATTATATTAAGCAAACAAAGAATCAATGCCATATGGAATGAGTCTTATTTGAAAAAAAATTGCATGCACTGCCTTAAAAACTAAAAATGTTTAATATATTGCACCTGCTGAGCTGTATTGCAAAAAAAAACGTTTAAGCAATGAAGAAATTATCTATAGCTTGTCTGAAACTCACGTGTAGATTTAAACACGTTTGTCTGTTTTTTCTTCTGTTTAACGTATCAAAACATGTACACTCAGAGCAAAACGTCATGATTACGCAAATATAGCAGACTACATGCAGATCTTTTAGACTACTGAACTCCAAACAGGAGTAGTACTGCCTTGTTTTTACTTCCAAATCAAACAAAGCCAAATTGGGTGCAATTAAAATGACAGTGAATGGGTGTGATGGAAATAGTACCTCTGATGTCAGCGCCAGGGAAGATTTAGAAATTGTACAGACTGATTCAAAGTCAGAGAGTGGAAGCAGCAAGGGGGCTGTCCCTGTTACCCTGGGGGTCACACCAGCACATCGCATGTACAGGGGGGAGAAAGACGCCAACTATCGAAGCGGTAAGAAAATATTTCGACTGACAGAACGGTGCAATAGATCAACTTTTGACAATAGTGTTTTAAAAATGTAGTTCATGTATTAAGATATTTTTATTGAACTGACCAGTCAAGTTGTAAATGGAGTTTGAAACTTTTTATTCAATGTCGTTCTGTTTTTCTAAAATAATCTATTACTTTTTTCTCTTTTGTCAGTTATCTAAGTGGTAATATATTTAAGGCTTCGGAGTGTACGTGTATCCGAACAACTTCTTCAGGTACGAGGGAGAGTGGAAGGACGGCAAGAAACATGGTAAGCTCAAACTCAATCTTGTTTCAGGCTTTGAGCTTTTTGTCGAGTTTTTTAGCTGCAAAAACGAGCAATTTAAAGCTTAGAATAGTTTCAAATTAATTAGAAGCGTGATAAAATGTTTGGTGCCAGAAGGTTCCTGGTCTTCGATAGTTTCCTTTGTGTAGGTTCACACTTCTTCGATAGTTTCCTTTGTGTAGGTTCAGGGCCAATCTAGGACTTTATCAAGGGGAGGCTGACTTTTGCAGGTCGACCAATTTGATTTTCCGGGCGCTCCCAGAACAAACAAGAACAAGACCCTGTTTACACTAAGCATTCTGCTATTTTCGAAAAATAGGTCAAAATGCTGTTGTCAAAAAATGACAATATTTGAAAATTTTTGACCCAAAAAAATGCATTTTTTGGCGCGCGCTCCCATTCAAAATTGATATATAATGGCGTCAAATGCATTTTTTGAAAATTATTTACCGTTGGTTGGTCGGCCGAAATTGATGCCATAAAATATTGACAAAGGGTGGATCCTTTGATTGGTGGGAGGTGGTGGACCCTTTGGTTGGTGAGGGGGTTGAATCGCTGAAAGTGGGAACGCATGCAAAACCCCGCCCACAGCAACAACCCCCCCCCCCTAAATGCGCCCCTGTGTAGTTTTGTTGATTTTCTTAAGCTACAGAAATCATCCAGTTAATGATGTGCTTCTAACTGTCGATTGTTATCATGCTCTTATCCATTGTAGGTCATGGTAAGTTGATCATGCGAGATGGGAGCTACTACGAGGGCAATTTCCTCAACGGGGAGATAGTGGGCAGGGGCACTAGGTTCTTCGCCAGTGACGGGAGGAGGTACACGGGGGACTTCTCCTGCGGGGAGTGTCACGGGGAGGGGCAAGTGGAGTACAGTGATGGGTCCACTTACCACGGACAGTTCGAGAGCAACAAACGCGAGGGTAAATTCTGCAACAAAAAGAAGAGTACTCTACAAAGTGCAAACTGGGGCGCATAAATTTGCATCATTGACATCAAAAACATCTGCATTGATCTGTATAAAAAAGAGCATAAGCACAGACGAAACAAATTTGCTCTTAGACTTTTGTCAACAATTTTGTTTAGGTTTTGGTGTGTTGAGTTGTGACAAGGGAACTTACGAGGGACAGTTCCACAGCAACCTTTGTCATGGTGACGGAACCTACAATTACAAGTTTGTATCAGTGTATGGAACAAGCTGATTCATAGTGTCAAAGTGTGATAAAAACTAAAACTAATTTCATAAAATGAGTTCACTAATTTTACGCCAATTTTTGTAATTATAGATTAGTTATAACGATCAATTGGAATAAAGAACAGTTCGTGCAATTTTTCTGCTGCTGTTTGAAGGAATGGGGACGTGTTCAGTGGGTACTGGGTGCAGGGGAAGAAGCAGGGACATGGGAAACTGCAGTTCAGCAACGGCACCACATACGAAGTGAGAGCACATATTTTCCTATTAGTCTTGAAAATTACCAATATATGTTAGATTCAGCTCATTCGGGGTGCTAGTGTTAGTTTTTTATCGAGAACTGCATGAAAAATTTGTAAAGCATTTTTTTGTGAAATGTTTTCCCACATCATGATCAACTTTGAATCATGTCACTTGTGTGTATTAACACCGATGATGGTTTATTCATACTCTCTCTCTCTTTCTCTCTCTCTCGTGAATAACTTGTCATTTCACATTGTAGGGACAGTGGAGGTGTGACAAATACAACGGAGAGGGTGAGTTGCGAGACAGTTCAGGGGCGACATACAGTGGGTTGTGGTGTTACCATGTGCCCAGCTGCAACCCAGTCAAACTCAGTATCTCCATCCCGCCAGACAGCAGCAACAGCACTCTCAATGTGTCTACTTCTGAGGATGGACTGACTGCTATCTCAGTGGCACAGGGGGAGGCATTCAGTATTGAGGTAGTTGTGGTCAGCAGCGAAGACCAGGTCGTCACCCAAGGTATGTTACAATTGCTGCTTAAAAATCAGGTTTGCACCCATTTACAGTATTGTTAAGGTAAATTAATCTACATGTAAAGCATTTTACACTTGCTTCAATTCATAATAATAACAGAAATATGAATACTTAAGATGACGCAAAGATGTAATTATGTTTTTAAATATTCGGTTGAATGATTGAAAAGGCTGAGAGATTTTCTGTGAGGTCATTTATACGACCCGTATATGAGGTTTCTGGAGGAGACCTTTCGAGCTGGGTTTTAAATTTGGTTAACTTCAGTGGGTGGCCTTCAGATAGCAGCCAAGGCTCTCTACAAACACATCCCTGCGCCCCCTGATTACAAGGAGCCATTGCTAGAAATTGTACAGCAGACTGAGCTACCTGTGGAAAACACTCCTGTGTAAGTATCAGCGCATAAATCTTCCTTATTTTGGTAATTGAATTTTTCTGGTATTTTTTTTACTTTGTATTGAAGGGGGAAAACTCATTAAAACAGGTCGACGTTGCAAAAAATTTAGCTCGTAGTGTGTCGTGAAGCGTTTTAAACAAACTTTTTTGTCAAAACTAAGACACATTTTTGTCATTATGTAATTTTTTCATGCGTTCAGCAGCATTGAACATCTGTACATTGCAGCTATGCTGCAGTATCTCATCCAATCACAGACCTACTGGAGTTCATGAAGGAGGTGGACAGGGCAGTGGGCAGCCACCTCAGTCAGCAGAACCAGAACAGAAAAACCACAGTAGTAAATGCCACCGACAACAAAACAGTGGAACACAATAATGGTCCCAATCTGGCCTTGCCTCGGGCTTCTATGTCTGAATCGGTGCAGAGTTGTATTGCAGGAATGGCAGCTGACGCTCTTTTGGGAAACCAAGGGAAAAATGAGGATACTCTCAATCAAGATTCAAGTAAACATGTCAAATTTCTTAAATTCTAGAGTTACAATTAAGCCGAAAACAGAAAAAGAATAAACTTTTTCATTTGAAGAACTTCGGATGAAGCTGCAAAAGTTTCAAAAAACACGACGAAAAAATGTAATCATGGGTAAGGTAATCGGAATATCAATTACCATAATGATCATAATTCAGTTTGATTTTGTTGCTACTTTTAAGTTCTGTTACTATTTTTGTTCTGTGTTTCATTTATTTTTTTGCGCATTGAGTTGACAAGCTCATTTCACAAATTTCAATTAAATTCTGTTGATTTTTGTAAATTATCATCATAACTTGAGTTATCGCCAGGGGTGGATCTAGGATGTTCTCAAGGGGGGTGGGGTAAAAAAATTTTGTCGACATTTTTTCCGGTCGATCAAATTGATTTTGCAAGCTCTCCCAAAGCACTAAAAAAACCTGTTTTGGGCAAAATTTCTGCGTCGCAGGCAAAATTTAAAAAAAAACAGGCAGGCAAATTGCGTTTTTTCGGCGCCCGCTCCATACCCCCCTCTCAAAATTAGTATATATGCCGCCAAAGGCGCCTTAAAACTTTTTTAGAGTCTGTCACCAAAAACGGATATCTCAAAATAGTACAAAGGGAGACCCTTTGGGTTAGCAGGGGGTTAAATCCCCCCTCCAATTCCGCCCCTGGGTATCATATCGATAAACATCAATCTTCAAGATAGATAAGATGGTCCAAAAACTCTTCGAATCATTGCTAACATGTTTTTTTTTCTACTTTTATTTCTAAAAAAAATATGTTTTTTTCCATCTGCATCAGATAGGAGCACCAACAGAGATAACTGGACTGCGCCATCTGCTCAGACGCAACTGATCACCGAGGGAACTACCCGCTTTCCCGCCCTAGTGATACCCTGTGCCCCTTTGGGCTACAGACCCCATGACCTGGAGGACTTCCTGGACCAACAGAGGAGGCACCAGCTACACAGCAAGGGAGGAGGGGGCAGCACTCACCTTTTGGGGGTGGGAACAGGCGGCGGAGTCGCAACAAAGAAACGTGAGTGAGGTCTTCGTTTTTTCTAAGTTTTATGATGAGAGCTTCTGGGCAATTGCATATGACTGATTACGTAGCTATCTTCAAACTAGCGTTCATTGTAGTTTTATTTAGATCACGCTATTATATGGATTACTTCCTTTGAATCATGGTTTGTTTGCAACTTCCAATGAGCTTTTACCAATCAAATACATACAATTTTACATTCAATGTTCAGATTTTCATCAGGACAAAATGAAGCTCATTGAAGCTTTTCAGCGTTTTTAAATTATTCCTGAAGATGATTTTACAAAAACGGTTGAAAATTGTGTCAGGAGTATATTATTGAGAAGTGCCCCTTTAGACCACTTCTTTGGGGTCCGGAGACCCACCTCGTCCATAGTTGGCGAAGAGGAAAGCGAGTCTAGTCTAGACGACAATGGAATCAGACACAGTAGTATGGAGGGGACATCTAGTCCCCCTCTAGTAGAAGAAAAAACCCAGGAAGATAATAGTGGGGAGGGGGAGGCAGAATGTAAAAGCACAACCCCTTTTGTCCAAAACAGAACAAGTACGGTATAAATGAGAGTGTTCTAACAGCCGAATGCCACATAGCATTGACAACTTGACTGGGTTGACGCGATCTCTAACTCTTAAATTTCATTATAACTAAAAATTGTAAATTATTTTAACCAATTCTAATTCTTAGCATTCGTTCTAACTCTATTAACCTGCTTGCCGCTTACTGTGTTGTTGAATTAGTTTTCAAAGAATTTTCATCGTCTAATATTCAAAATGTATGAGAAAAATAACCTCGAAAAAAATAAGGTTTTCTCGAATTCTTTTCTTGCTAATAACGAAAATTCGGTCAAATTACAAGGTTTTTTCTAGAAGTTACCGAATTGAACTATTCCCGAATGACCGAGGCGGAGTTGAGGAGAACAGTCTCGTGTGAGAAGAGTGCCAGACCAGGTGAGACCAGACGATGAGAGTCTTATAAACTATACGATACACTATGATAGAGTGGTCCCTTGAAAATAACCAGGTCCCTTGAGAAATAGACACATAGAGCTCTCGAATAGTCGAATAATTATGAGTTCGCATTTCAGAAAAAATGCCGCAGTATATTTTCAAACAAATTTTATGTTTTGTTTTAACTTAAACCCTCTCCCTCACCATTTTAAGGTTGAAAATTAAAAAAAAAACGCCAATGGAGGGTTTTAATGACAAATCAATCAACCCAATAATGGTTGTTAAACCGTAAAATAAAGTGAAACGAGCACATTTCAATATATAAACAATGTAGCAATTACTGTTTTTAATCTGAAAAGTTATTGATTCAACATATTTCGCAAGATTTTTGAAATGAATAATTTTTACACAATTTATTTTACAAAATTATAACATGCGAAATGCATGCGGGACCTGCCTATTATAAATGCTTTTTCGAAGAACCACTCTATCATAGTAATACCAACAATAAACCCAAACAATCATTCAACCCAATATCAATTTTAAATGTCAAAGCATGGGGACCGCTCGTTTAGCAGACCAATCTTTCAGCATAAAAACTGAAAAATGAGTCTTTTAACAGACTAACTAAATTTTATCTCACGATTTGCAAACAAAACTATCAACTTCGAAAACAGAGTCTAAGGTGGCGTCCCTCATGCTGGAAGGACCGAATGCTTGAAATTTATTTTGGCTCATTTTTAGGCAATCACAATTGAGTATTCAAAAATCTCGGGGAATTGCAAAAACTTTGAAGTAAGCAAATAAATCCAGGCCATTAGTGTTAATATTGCCCAATTAGATAATATGCAGATAAATGAAAATCATGCCGGATCGAAGGTGGATTGGAACAAATTTAATATTTTAAGCAGGGGCGGATATAGCATTTTCTCGAGAGTGGGGGTGCGGATTTTCAAATTGAATTTTTGAGCTCTCCCAAAGCACTAAAAAAAAACTTTTTCGGGCTAAATTTTTGCGCCGTTAGCGCCTTTTGTAAATGTTTAGGGTTCATCACCAAAAATGGATATTGGAAAATAGTACCTCTGGGTCGGCACGGGGTCAAATCCCTGAAGGAGAGCGTCTGCCCTCACCCGCCCTCACCCCCTCCCCCCCTAAATCAGCCCCTGATTTTAAGAATACCGATTTACGAAAAATGGAAAAACAAAAAGTAAATTTATTAGATATGCACCTATTATATCGTTATTTTTTATACTTATTATGTTATCTTTTTTTGTTAATATTGACTTCGATTTTGGCATGAAGCCAATAGGAACGCTTAGCGATTTGGTTGGTTGAATTTTTTCTAGCATGAGAACCCTCCCCACAATCTAATTTAGCGGCAAAACAAAGATAATCGCGCACAATAGCAGCGAACAGAAGCGCATCGGAGCAAGTGATCGCTAATCGCCAACGCCGTGTTGGAAGTTAGCTTTCTGACTTGCTAACTGTTTTGAGTCTGCTAAAAGATTGGTCTGCTAAAAAAACGGTCTGCTCAAATTGTCAGCACCTCAAAGCATATATCTCATATTTCCAGAAGACCTGACAAAATTTCATTTTTATTGTTTTCCTCAGGAAATACATAATTGCAATTAAATGTCGGAATCTATGTAAGCTCGAAGCAACATTGAAACTTCCTATGAGTTGACTGTTAGTAGATTTTGCCCCGGAGCTTTTGCTTTTTTTTAATGCATTTCTCTCAATCGATTCAGGTGAGTATGTAGTGAAGATTGAAGATGTGACCGAACCCCCTTTCCTCGGAAGGAGACTGGAGCCAGCCTACCTCCTCATCAATGTCCTCGCCAAAACTCCTACACTTCCTTGAAACGTCCATTTTCTAAACTGATGCATTTTGGCAGAGCTTTCAGCCAAAAACAAATCTAACATGGAGGTATAATCTCTCCTATACAATTGATTTCAGAAGTTAAAGAAAACTGACACACAAAAACTAGCATCCTGAAATTGTCTAAGTTCAATAGAAATCCTATTTCAGTGCCAATGACTTCACGTGCTCCTACATATTATAGATGCACATCTGCACATCTAAACAAAATTTGAACAAAACGCAGGCATCTGAAAATTGTGTTAATTTTCATTCAAAGGAAGTTTGAGCAGAAATTGTATCTACTTGAAGATTATAAGGTTGATGCTGATAATGATATACTTTTTGTAGAATTGGTGATTCTACTGTATTACATGCTATAGAAACCTGAGTGTAAAATTGATAATTTTATGATGAAAATGGTTGAAAATTGTGAAATTTGATTTCAACGTAAGCCGACTGTATGAACTTAGAGAAATGAAATTCAGTGACAGATAAGCTTAGTTTGAGAGCAAACAATCGTAATCGGACTCTGCACCTTGAATTTGGCCTCTAGGGCGAAGAATTAAAAATAAGAAGAAAGCGCTAAAATTCTGGAAACCCCCCCCCCCCGGATTGGGAACCACTGGTCCGATCCCTATGAAAAATAGTGGGTGACTAAGAGAGATGATTTTAGCTGGGCATGCAAATTTTCAGACTCCTGGGACCCCTGGGGGGCGAGTGATAATGATTTCCGAAAATGCAATTAGCACTTTTTGTAAACCGGTAACTAGTGGTCAGAATGACTTCATGTTGCAATATGTTGTAGCCCTAGGCGAGGGAAGTTCACCACCGGGATTTTGAACGCATCCGGTTACTACTTCCGGTTTTACACCTTATGTAAACAAAACCTACTTTTTGTTATTTCTCAACCCCTGATGTTGTTAGGAGGCTGAAACTTGGGGGGATTGTAGGTTGGGGTGAGACCTACAATGTATCAATTTTTGGACCCAATCCGGCGGCTACGTCGGAAGCTATTAGCACGTGAAAATTAAATAAGGCTATTAACACCTGATAGTGATATTTGACTTGCGATTTTAATGCACCAATGTGAAGGGGGGCCCAACCCAGTAGGGGGACATCTAGTGATCCAATCCTCTCCGGAACTTCCTATGGGGTGAAAATGGCAGTTTTAAGGAAAAGTGTTAATTGACCCAATATTTTCGAAAATATGGGAAGGGATGGTCCGATAAGAATGAAACTTATTGAGAATGATCTCCCATCGGAATTAAGACGTTTGGACGCGTTTGACCTCATTTGACCTCGGATGACCTCTAAGAGGTCATTTGGCATTTTTGACTCCAAGACCCCGGAAACCCCTGAAAAGTAATAAATTAGCATTGTAAGGACCCGTAAGGGGTACCTACCCACCTGGGGGGTAAGGGGAGGCCCTAAATTGAGAGTTTTTAGTTCTGACCTTTGTACGCGAGCGAAAGTGATTATAATATTATAATTAGCAAACATTGGGGTCAGCTTAACCCACTCCACTTGGACTTTCGATAAAACGACAAACAAGTAAAAATACAGCCCCGTACAAAAATTGGGAACAGCTATGGGAGGAAATGGGAATTTCGGGATGAAGATTTTATGAACAACCCTAGCATATTAAATAAATTCTTGTGGTGTTTTTTCGGATCAAAACGGACACGGGGAAGGGAATTACCCAGCCCTTGGACTTAGGGGAATAAAATTAAAATGACCAAAATGGAAACTTTTCAATTATCACGGAAGTTAAATTACCGGTTGAGTGAGAACTACCCAATTCATAGGAAAGGAAAAAAATTAGGAAGAACTAAAATAAAGTCATGCAAGGGGTCATTTGTCAAAGACGATTGGGAGCTGACTTTGTAGTTGAACCCAATGTTTGCTCAGTATGTCCTGATTAACTAAGTGGCACCCCGATGTTTAATTAAAGCTGACCTAATGGTTGATTCAGCTGATAAGTCCTGAGTGGCGGCTACTTAAGTGAATGTCAGTAGCGATAAGGAACGGTAGGCCTCTGACCGAACCGAAAGTAAATAAAGATAACGATACGCGATTAAGGTACAACCACCGAACCGGGTGAGAACAATTGATACTGAGATAGAGTATAGTTGGTTTTCAGTTAGTTAGAGAACAATTTGGGCTACGAGTTAAGGTAGTCGCTTTATTCTCAAAGTAAAGTGGGAACAAGTTGGAAGACTTGTTAACGTGATTTAGTTAGTTAGTGGATATAAGTTAGGCTATCTAGAGGATAGTGGGATCGTTGTTGAACGATCGATATTGAAAGAAGTTCTCGAGGAGAACGTTAGTTAGTTAGTTAATGGTAAGGCGTGAATTGAACTGCAAGGAGCAGGGGGTTAAAGAATAGTAATCGCGGACCCATTCCATTGACTGAACGATTGATTTATATTCCAGCCATTTATGGGCTACTCTGTATTTGGTTATATTTATTTCTTCATTCAGTCTTATTATTGGAATTGTTGTTGCGATCGACTATTGATTGACTGAGTGAGATACAACCGGAAGAGCACAGATCACGGGGCAAGCAGCATAGTACGATACAGAGAAGCCAACCACCAAATTAACCCTTTTGGGATTGTAAACAGTACTGGGAATCGGTTGCCCCACTGACCCCAGTACTAAAGGGAACATATTGCGGCGGTGCGAAGAACGATAACGAGGGAGAAAAGCCGGCCTAGAGATATTGTGAATTCCCCCTCGTTTACAGTGGCGCTACTGGGTGGGCGTTATTCTGGATTTTAGCTGCAACAACGACTTGTGTGAGATTGAGACGATTAGTGCGAACGAACAATCGACAGACGATTACCATGAATGAACAGGATAGACAGCTCATGGCAGAGGCTGCAGTGGCAGCGGCGAATGCTCTTGACAGACAGCAGGGGGTGTTTGGATTCGGTACAATACGACCAGATCGGTTTCCCTCGAGCAGTTATCAGAACTGGCGAGACTGGAGGAAACACTTTGCTTGGGTCACAGATGCCAATCGATGGCACGATGAGCAGGCCAGGATGGTGCTTCCGACTTGTTTGACAGGCTGGGCATTGGATGAGTTCACGACTATGCCAGCTCATTTTCGACAAGAAGTTGACGGGTTCGATGAGCCAACACTCGGAAGAATGCTGGCCGAGCTCGATCAGAGGATGATGCCGTTTCAGACACGATCGACAGCGCGAGCTGAGTTCAAAAGCCGTATGCAGGGCGAAAGGGAGGACCTGAGGGACTTCTCCCGACGAGTGCGATCAGTGGGCGAAGTAGCGAATGCGAATATGCCAGTGCAGATTCGAGACGATATGAATCGTGAGCAGTTCATCGATGGGATATTCGATGCGGATCTACAGGAGTTGCTTCTACGAGAAGATTTCGATAGCTTCGGTCAAGCTGTGGCTCGAGCCCAAGCACTAGAGATGGCTAGTAGGACAGCCAGGCTGCGCAACAGAAGACTTCCTAATGCTGTTCGGGAAATGCACGATTTTCCAGAGATAGAATCGGGAGTTATCGGCGACGAATTGCAAGCAGGCGGGGCTCAACAACTGCGAGCGGACCTGACGATTTGGCAGAAAAATACAGATCAACGGCTAGATCAGATTTTGACACAGGTGCAAAGACAGGGGTCGCAGCAGAATGATCTAGCGAAACAACTGAAAATTCAGAACTCGAGACATGATGATGTGATGACACAGATGCAGAGTATGATGGCTATGATGGGAAAGTTAGTTAATTCGCTTACCCCTACTCCGAACCCCGATGGCCGACCCCAACAGGAGACTCCTCCCCAGTCGAGGCAGTTGTTCGAGTCGGGAGGAAACAGTCAGAACAGTGCGGGCAATGGTGCTGGCCGATACGGTTTGAAGAACCCATGGACCCAGGGTGCTTGTTTTTGTTGTGGACAGGTGGGCCAGATTGCGAAAGGCTGTCCCCAAAGAAGTGCGAACCATTTAAACTACCAGGGGCCGGGACAGTAGACGAGTTCGAAGGAGGCTTTGTTCCGGCCGAATATAAGAAGCAACGAGGTGTCAGACGACCTACAGCGACAGTTGACGATCCCAGACGGATCATCGAGACTGAGCGAATGCGTGAAGACAAATGCGAAGGTGATTCGATCCTCGACGGGGAGCATGTGAGGACAATATTGCAGCGTCGGCCACGAACCACAGATAATGCGAATGATACAGGCGCGATCCACAATCGCCAAACAAAGATGACATACGAGTGCGTGGGTATTAGTCATTGGACGAATGATCCGTACGGAGCCTATGTGGATGCTTGCGTTGGAGGAACGAACATGGACACGTTATTGGGACACGGGGGCCACAACGAATTTGATCCGAAGCGACAAGGCTCGAAAAATTGTTGATGGACCGGAGATAAAACTGTACAGGGGTCACTTGGAGACAGCGGACGGAAAGAAGGTCGCTGTTGATGGTTGCATAACAACAAATTTGAAGTTAGGTGTCATCGATGATGAAATCGAGGCTCTGGTGGTACCCGAACTGAAGGCTGAGATGGTACTCGGTCTCAGATCACTGAGAGGGTACAAATGTTCGTTAGAATTCAGCAGAGACGACTTGTGGACGGGGCCTACGGAAGGATCGGTTGTACCAGTGTTTTATAAGGCTCCCCAGCTGGTCCCCCGAGTTCCCCCAGACCCAGGAGGGAAAAACAAGTTGGAAGCGAATCGGTGGGATAGACCAATTCTGACAAATAATATGTCCAGCGATGTACTGGACGAAATTCCAGAGGGTTGGCCAGTCAACTATGAGAGTCACAATGTAAATATGCTCCATGATAACGAAGCTGAAGACGACGACATGAATGGATGCCCCAAGCCAGTATCGTTAGAGGAAGCACTGAGAAGGACTCGTGGCGGAGGTCGATCAGATATGGCTGCAGTGGTTCCAGAGTCAGAGGGGGCCACAACGAGCAAGCGACCGACGCCTTATCGGTCGGTTAGTTTCTTCGATGACCGGGAGATGTATGATAAAGATGAGTTGTTGTGGGCGAACAACCGGGAGGGTTTTAGTCATGACCCAGGTCCAAAAGATGTACCAGTGAGATTGTTGCCTGTGAGAAATCAAGCGGAAGAGCAACAAGTGAATCCACCCGGAATTAATGTGCGAAACAGGGCGATGTCCGAACACTTTGCTGATCCACCTCAACGAATGATGGATGTGGCTAGGAGGGAAGAAGATGTGATAGAGACGTACGATGCGACGGAGCTCAAGGCCAGAAGGGAAGAAGAGCCTGCGAATCTACCGAGTGAGGCGGAAGGTAGACCCCCGGGAGAGCCGATGGCTGCTGAACCAGTGATAGAAATTAGCACTGCAGATGATGGCGGTCGGCCAACTCGAGTAAGGAAACCACCTGTGAGGTTTGGAATCGACGAGTTTGTGAGTTAAAACT